TTGAATGACATGTACACAACGTGATGTTTGCAAAATAAAAAATCATGTAGCTTTTGTTGTGGGGCATTTTCAAAAGATTGTGTGTGAAACATGTTTCTGTAATTGTATTTCCACCTAAGGTATTTCGCCTATCGAGAGAATATTAAACACCCCTACATTTACCTGTTGGGAAAGTAACACCATATTATAGGTAATTTATGATCTCCATCATGAAAAAATATTGCATGAATCTTAATCACTAACCGAAGAATTGGATGTATGGTACATTGGTCCAATATTTAAAGCATGTCATAAGAAATATTACTTGGCGTGCTTTTAATAGTCGGCTTAAAGCGATACGGATATCCTTTGTGATTTTTTTCACATTCATTTCTTCTTTAAAATCCTTGTTATTACTTATTAGTCTACATGTAACAAACCAATTTATGTTAAAAACACTAAAACAAGCAACATTTAGAAATAACAATTTTGTAGGATGCCAATAATACATTGTTGGTGATTTTATATCACCAAATATATTTTAGTGTAATGGATTTAACAAGTGTTTCAAGAATAATGTTTTAGTTATAATACAAATTAGGAGGTGTGGGAGTGTACACTTGTATTTACTAAACATTGTTAGTACCGAACCTTAATCTACTGTGTGAAGTCGGGGTTCGGGGACTAATCTAGTTTTTCTGAAAGATGCAAACTGTTCTCATTTATCCGTTGAGTGGATAAATCCGGGAAAATAATGACTCATTTGGAACACAAAAAACTGGGAAACGCTTCCTTCTTCATCTTCTTCTAAAATTGATTCTGATGTTGTGCCTAAAATCAGAATTGCTGCATCTGAAATTATCCTAAATTTGGATTTCGTGATACCGAAGGCATATAGGGTCGACATATCAAACAAGAAAAGTGATTACACGATTCCTGTTTTGTTATCAAGATTTCCTTAATCCTATTTCAATATTTCCAACATACATAAGAGTATTATGAAAAAGATTATAAAGATGACAAAAAAACAACAAATTTCGTAGGGTTTTTAGAGTATTTAGCAATGTCAATTACGAACTGCTCTGGAAATATAAGAAATGACATAAAACCTATACGTTGTCAAAACCATGAAAAATACGTTTTAACCTAAAAAAATGTTTTTTTGGCACCTTAAAAATTGTGTTTTTATGTTATATCTCAAATTTTAGAGTATTTCATCTTCTTAAATAATCACAATCAGAAAACGTAAAAATCTGAAAATGATCGATCATTCACAAAGGGAAGATTTTCGTATATACATTTTTAAATGTCAAAATATCATATTTTTCAACCAAAAATCAAAATATAATAATTACCCTTTATAAACATTAAAATACCATGTTTTCCCAAATCCTATTTTAAACATTTTTAATATATATATATATATATATATATATATATATATATATAGAGAGAGAGAGAGAGAGAGAGGGAGAGAAAAAGAGAGAGTCAAGATCAAATAAGAAGGAAATTTTTGGTAGGAAGGTAAGAAGTTTTTTTTCTACATATTTTTTTCGCGAACAAACAAAATGAATCATTAGATGATTCATTTGTAAGATGATTCACAAGAAAAAATTCTCAAAAAAACATCTCGATGATTCATTTATATAATGATTTTGTTGTTATTCACTAAAATTGTCATAAAAGTAAAAATTTTCTTAATTTACTTAAAAATGAATCATAAAGATGTTTTTTTGAGAATTTTTTTCTTGTGAATCATCTTAAAAATGAATCAACTAGTGATTCATTTTTTTTGTTCGTCAAAAAAAATATGTAGAAAAAAACTTCTTACCTTGCTACCAAAAAAAAACTTCTTACCGGATCTATATATATATATATATATATATATATATATATATATATATATATATATATATATATATATATATATAATCTTTTTAAAATCAATATATTAATCAATTTACTATTATATCATCTTCATAAATTTCCAATTCAATCAAATGCACATCAAAAATAAAGTTGATTGAAGTGATTTTTGAAACAAGAATGATGATTCTTTTTTTGTATGTGATCTCTACATATAATATCAACGGTTTTACTAGGGTTTTGGGTTTTGGGTTTTGAGTGTGAGGGAGAAAATTGTAAAGTATATTTAAAATTGAATATGTTACACGTAAGACTTTAAAAAGTAATTAATTTTAAGAATTGATTTGAGAAACAATGCCAGAATTCAAAGCAAAAGAGTTCATAATTTTTATTACTTAGACTGTTTTGAGATGCTTGACAAACACAATGAAAACTTTTGGTTTTATTCCAAATATTTAGGCCAAATTATTTTTAGATGAAAGTTTGAAGTTGAATTAGTTAATGAATGTCGGGGAATTTATGAATATTATTATAATGGTCCATTACTAAAACTAAATGTTTAAATTTAGATAAAATTGCAAAAATGGTTCGTGTGGTTGGTAAAATTTTGTAGTTTTGGTCCAAAAAGTTTTGGTGGTGTATCAATAGTCCAAAATTGAATATTTTTATTGGTTTTGGTCCTTATACACTTAAAAAGACGATTATACCCTTATAATTTATATCTTTCATTTCCTTTAATTGTTGAAATACATATAAATTAATTTAATTTATATTTTTAAACTTTAAACAAAAAATAAAAAATAAAATGGACCTACCCACCGATTTCTCTTTCCTTCTATCTAGCTTCCTCTCTACAAAACACACATACATACACACTCAAGAAACATATCACCCTTAATGGTTGCCAACCATCACCATCCCATGCCATCCACCTCTATTTTCCTCACCCTTAACCCATCTCTCATTCATTAACCCGATAAAAGTTCACCAGTGACCACCACCCCATCCTCACCATTAACAACTCCCTTCCGTGCCCAGTTCTAAACCAAGTGCCTAGAAAATCATACTTAATGCCCAGATCGATGTAAGGAGTGCTCAAACCCAGAAGTTAAAACCCACCCCAACGTCGTTTGCCACCACCATTTGTCATCAACCACCATCATCCCCCCACATTCACCCTCGCATATCCTTTTTTAACCTGATGATCCTATATCACCACCATCTGTTGAGCTCCACCACCTTCCAACCATCCATGAAGACCTGAGTTTGCATCTCGTCCCTGTCTAAATCGAACAGATCAACGGGTTTAAAGAACAGATCGGCAACACTAGGGTTTCGGAAATCTCCATTGATGACTATCCCCACCAGGTACCATCACATTCTTATGAAGAACCCTAACCAGAGCTCTTACCAAAACCCCCTATCCATATAAGAAGGATGACGACACTTGGGTTTCAGAAAATGAGAATAGTGGCAGCACAAGGAGATATACATAAAGATGACAAATGTGGTTGTGGCGGCTAAAAACCATCGTCACTAAAAGACGAAGAACGATGACTGAAAACCCAAAAGATCTGTCAAGCTCCAACATCTTCTACTATGGAGTCAGATCCTGTTTTTCCGACTTTCCATTATATATCTCATTTTTCTGGTGGGGGTGCTAGGTCGTTTGGGTAAGTGACTGTGACAATGGTGGTCTCGTTTTTTCGGCGGGTGGTCTTCGATATAATGGAGAGAGAGAGAGAGAGAGATTGTCTTTAAGAGTGACATAATTTTTATTTTTTGTTTATTTTTAAATTAAATACTAAGAATACAATTAAAAGAAATCAAAAAAAGAATCAATTGAGTGTATTTTCGTCATTTCAGTTAAAATATGGACCAAAATCACATAAAAATACCAACCATAGGAACCAATAGCACAACCATTAATTTTTTTTGAACAAAAGTCATAGATTCTTGACATAAGGATCATTTTTTTTGCAATTTTGTCTTAAATATGTTATAAAGGTTTTATTTACTTGTTTTTAGTAAAAATATAATATTTTGAAGCTTATGAAAGATAATTATGATATTTAGATTTTTGGCTGAATAAATATGATATTCTAACGTTATATATATATATATATATATATATATATATATATATATATATATATATATATATATATATATATAATGATAGATTTTTAACTATGTAATATTTGAATGTTTAACATCAATTTTACCTAATGTTAGGCTCATTTTGCAATACAACCTAGGAAATAAGTTTATTAACGGAATTTTATTTAATTTTTTGTAAAATAATTAAGAGTTGTTTTGTATGTTATTTATTAAAAAACGAATTAAGAATGATAAATAATTAAATATGAAGAAAATGATAAAAATAGCCATTTACACTAATTACATTACAAAAATAGCCAAAAAATATCGAAATTACAAAAATAGCCAACGATTTCGCAGATGGAAATGCCCCATCTGCGAAATCAGCATGCCATCTGCGAAAGTACAAGCAGCTAAAGCACAGCTGTGCTTTAGCTGCTTGTACTTTCGCAGATGTTTTTTTTTTTTTAAATTTTTTTGTGTATATATAGGGGTAATTTCGCAGATGGAAAAGGTCCATCTGCGAAATACTCTCACTCCTATCTGCGAAATACTGATTTTTTTTGTATATATATTTTTTTAGTTTAACTATGAAATGAATTGGTTTGACTACGAAATCTTGTTGCTATATAAAAAGTTTTGTAGAAAAATATCATGTTGCTACATGATTTCGTAGTCAAACCAATTCATTTCATAGTCAAACTAAAAAAAGAAAAAAAATACAAAAAAAATAAGTATTTCGCAGATAGGAGTGAGAGTATTTCGCAGATGGACCTTCTCCATCTGCGAAATTACCCCTATATATACACAAAAAAAAAGATTTAAAAAAAACGTCTGCGAATGTACAAGCACCTAAAGCACAACTGTGTTTTAGCTGCTTGTACTTTCGCAGATGGCATGCTGATTTCGCAGATGGGGCATTTCCATATGCAAAATCGTTGGCTATTTTTGTAATTTCATATTTTTTAACTATTTTTGTAATACTAAATTGCTATTTTTGTCATTTTCTCTCTTAGAATATGTTGTTTAGAACTTTAGATAATGCGAGTTGTGATGCGGAAGGAGCCAAAAAGTTGACCCGACTACTTTTGAAGAAAAAGGGTGAAACGCCAAAGCACCTCTGCTACTAAAACCCTCCAATCACTCGCTAGATTCGTGTATAATCAAATCGACAGACACGTGATCGAAAAAGATGGCCGGCAGGTGTCCTCCGATACCTCTCCGGCCGACACGTAACGTCGGTGGTTTGCTGTTTATCACTCTCCTGCACTCCACTCTGTTTTTGTTTTGTAGCAGTTCTTCAATTCCAGACTGCCGTCTATCTTCAGCTGGAGCCTCTGCGAATAGCCCAATATGGTACTCTTTCTCCCTATATTTATATATATATGTATGTATATATAACTCATTGATAGCTTTGTGAATTTTACAACTGAATCGTCTCTTCAAATTTCCGTTTAGATTTCATATATCGTGGTTGTTTTTGCTATTGCTGTTGTAGATCGTATTTTATTACGGTGTTTATGTTCCCAATTGATTTAGAATCAGCTTTGGCATGATTAGTCAACCAAACTGTTCTGAATTCACCGCAGTGTTCGTTGTTAGAGAGCTAGCAGCAATAGTTTCTGCATATCATATTATTGTTCCCAAAATGATCTATTGTCAGATCGCCCTTGCTTTTCATGCCTTTTTCGTTGCAGTTAACTAGTTTTGGTCTCGATTTTATTTTGGAGTTGATTCCAAAGCGCTTTTGTCATTTGGGCATAGTACTTCCTTGTATTTTTTATAATGCCAATTTTTACGTATTAATTATACTATTTTTGAACGAAACTTACTCAAAACTTTCAATAGTCTTTAGTCTAGAATCATACTCAAAAGTTATTAACACTTGCTAATTGCTACCAATGACCTTAAGAAGCCTTCATTTTACACGATCACAAGTTCATGACAATGTGAGCTGATATCTCAATTTTTCTTACATAGCGATTGATCTGTTTTTGGTAGTGTACGACTGTACGTACGTATACAGATTGCTGTGGTCTCCTTCTCTCTACTATATTTCTGAATTTATTCTTGAAACTTCTTATTAGTGCAGTTTTTTCCTTTATACATGACTACCTAAACTCCCACAACAGTTTAATACTGTTAACGTTAGTATAACTACTACTATTTACAAGAAAACATGAATAAACTCTCATCATTATTGCAAAAAGGACTCATGAACACGTATTATAACTTCCAGATAGATGAAAAAGACCTTTGAGAGAGTTATTCGTGTTTAACAGACGTATATCATGTAAAACAGAATTTGTGTTTTTTTTTTTTTTTTATTTACACCGCAGCTCCTTAAGTCTTCAACTTCTAGATCTTCTCACCTTCATTCTTTCAGAAAACAAGACACCATCCACAAGAACGAATTATTAGATTTTATCCCCTGAATTTATCATAATAGCTCTAGTTAATCCTAAATACTAACAATTTAATTATTCTACTCCAAGATTGACATACCAATGTTAAACTATACAAACTCCTGGTTCATATCATTTTTTCAGTTTCATGTTGATCTTTTCCTTTATCCTTCTTATTTCCAACATCCCTTTTAATTGCATTGCTAAATTGTAAATTTACAGCATTAAAGTTAACCAGTTTGGATGCCTTATGGAATCTTTATATACACCATGTCTTTCCACCATGTTTTGAGTTAATTTTATTTAAATAAGCGTGCAGTCTCTCTCTTCCTTGTATTTCCTAATTCTCACCATAAATGAACACCTGTACTCCTGTTTATGATACATCGCATACTCCATGTCACTAAATTCCCTGCATCAGAATTGACCAGTTTTTGGTATACTACAAGTACAGGTGAGTACCTATAATAAAATAGGAAAAATGTTGTTTCAAAAAGCTCCAAGTCTATCTAGAACCATTTTATCCAGGTAATAAATAAAATGCATCCAATAGGCTGCTGTCATATTTCATATGTTTCCACTAAATTTGATTATCTTTCAATCAGGACAGTGCAAGTCCTGAGTTATCTATCCAAGACAAAAAATTCAAAAACACAGATGATGCTTCATGCCTTAAACGTGGTTTTAGTATGTTGGATGCAGAGTTCTTCAATGACAACAAGGTAATGTTTACCTTTTTGTGTGTAATAATAATGCGTTGTACCTTTTTTCAATACTGAAAACATTTGCTATTTTGTCAAATTTAGATGCTTGAAACCGAGAAGGGTGCCAAAGAGCTCAACATTCCTATAATTAAAGCCAATAGGAAAATAGTTGCTACCACCAATGGTGGATTGCACTACCCTTCTTCATTGGTTTTCAATTCCAAATGGGAACACGAAGAAACACAAGATGATGCTAAAAAATTCAGTTATCCTTCGGTTTCTGGTGTCATGAAGCCTGAAAATGAAGAAGATATCGCCTTCATGACTGTAAGTTGACTGTCACTAAAGTACGTTCAACTGTCGCTAAAATATCATACTACCTTTGCTTATCGTTTATTGTTTTGTGGAAAATGTGGGATAATATATATAGATTCTTGAACTTGGACATCTTATAAGAACGAAACAAGTCACCTCAGAGGAGCTCGTCCGGGTTTTTCTTAAGAGGCTTAAAAGGTAATTTTGTGCCTTATGAACTCGTTTCTTTATTCTTTTCTCATCAAATATGAGATAAATTAGTTTCTGAACCCATTAAGCTCATTATTAAAAAAGAAACAACCCCTTATGTAATGGTGTGCAGGTATAATCCAGTGTTAGAAGCAGTGGTGACCATCACCGAGGATCTTGCCTACAAACAGGCAAAGGAAGCTGATGAACTACTCGCACAAGGCATAGACTTAGGTATTGAATTTACTTATGTAGTTATGTAGCCCTTTATTTATGAGAAGATAAATTTATGAATCAATATATATATATATATATATATATATATATATATATATATATATATATATATATATATATATATATATATATATAGGTCCACTTCATGGGATACCATATGGGCTAAAGGACATCATCTCGGTTCCTGAATATAAAACCACTTGGGGTTCAACCACATTCAAAAATCAAGTCCTTGACATTGAGGCTTGGGTGTACAAGAGGTATGATCCAATGTGGCCAGTTACACCATAAATGGTGATGCACTTGAGTTGATGATGTCTCTGTAACTATGAATGCAGATTGAAGGCAGCAGGTGCGGTTCTTGTTGGGAAACTGGTGACAGGGTCATTAGCATACGACGATATCTGGTTCGGTGGTCGAACCAGAAACCCATGGAACATTGAGGAGTTCACCACCGGTTCATCGGCTGGACCCGCTGCCTGCACTGCAGCCGGCATGGTTCCATTTGCAATCGGGTCTGAGACGGCCGGTTCCATAACTTACCCTGCGGCTCGGTGCGGTGTGACCGCATTGAGACCGACTTTCGGTGCAGTCGGTCGAACCGGTGTCATGAGTGTGTCCGAGAGCCTGGTAATGATCAAACCCTCACTCCATTCTTGATTTTTTATGTTGTTTTCTTTTATTAATAATGAAGTCGTTATTTTTTTTTTTTTTGTATGAAAGGACAAACTTGGCCCATTTTGTAGAAGTGCAGTTGATTGTGCGATTGTTCTAGATGCTATTCGGGGTAAAGATCCTGATGACGGGTCGTCAAGAAAGATCTTTCTTGATGACCCGTTTTCTGTAGACATCACGAAACTTACCGTTGGATATCTAGAGGATGCTGAGATGGAGGTGGGATTTTAAATTACAGAAAAATCATTATATTTTGGGCAATGATTGATTTTGTGGTGATGTGAAATTGGCAGGTGGTGGATGTGCTAAAATCAAAAGGAGTGAAGATGGTAGCGTTTAATCTGAGCTATAGTGTTGAATCTGCTCAAGGGATCTTAAATTTCACAATGGATGTGGACATGCTTGCTCACTTTGACAAGTGGCAACGATCTGGTGAAGATGAGGAGTACGAGGCCCAGGATCAATGGCCCACAGAGCTTAGCCGTACACGCATAATACCAGCTGTCGATTACATACAGGTATCTACCTTAACCTTACCATATGTTTTTGCATTACACATAATTTGTATAATTGAGAAATGAATAATAAAAAAATTGTCAAACAGTCGCAAAGGGCACGTGGGAAGTTGATTGGAGAAGTAAAGGAGAGTTTCAGGGTGGATGCATTCGTAGGAAATGCGACTGATTGGGAGAAAGTCTGTGTTGGTAATCTTGTTGGGATGCCGGTTATGGTTGTTCCAGTTGGTTTTCAGAAGATTCCGGATCCACCAAGTAATGATACCCGAAGAAGAAGCACTGTCACAACTGGCATCTATGCTCCACCCGATCATGACCACATTGTAAGTTGTCTTTCTTTGATCCCCCGAGGTTTTCAATTCATACGGTTTTTTGAGTAGAGGTTGACTTTTCACATCTGTTAATAATTGTAGGCACTGGCGTTGACAATGGCATACCAAACTGTTACCAATCATCATAAACAACGACCACCTATAGACAATCTTGGTCCCGATGATGTCATCCCAAATCCACCCAAGGCAATGATACCTCCCAGGATACTCAAAGCTTAATCAATCATATACTTTATGATTCTCTTCCATTGCTGGTCTATTTGATCTTCCTTAGGTGTATGTGTGCATCTGCATCTAATGTAAAAGTGAATGTATTCGCTAAATGAATAGAAAGCTTCAAATTTTTGGTCTACTTTTAGTTCATGATCTTGTTGCACAACTTTCCACATCTTCATGCATGCCAGTATCTTCCACGTGATCTTTTATTTTCTGATTTTGAATCCAGTCATCTTGTGGGGATAATGATGTTTGTATGGACTATATGGATAAAACCTTATTTACATAAGGTTTGTTTGAATGAGACTAACATTTAGTTTCAGAGTCTTATATAAAAAGAGAAGTGAAATGAAGTGGATGGAACCGGGAAGAAATGAGAAAAAGTAGATATTCTTTTGAGTTTTTTAATGGAATGAACTGGAAACAAGAGAAAGGATTTGGAGAGAAAGAAATTGGACATCAAAATAATACTTGAATTTAATTTCTTTTCTCTCTTTCTTTTGTAGATCATGAAAAATAGATTTGAATTTAATTTCTTTTGTTCCTTTCTTTCACATATGTTAGAATGTTTATTCCTCTTTCATTTTTTTTCAAACTTAGGAACATAAAAATATAATTTTTTTTTTATTATTTTGATAAAACTCGGGAACACAATGTAAATAACCATTTTAACTTTGTTTTTTAAAAACAATGTTCACGAAATTAGTTGATTATAAAAAGATATATATATCAAATTTAAAGTGAGGAATCAAGAAGAAAAATATAATAATGAGGTAGTGTCTTAATGAGTTAATGAGGTATCTTGGTCTAACTCATTAAGTCATTATGTTTATCAGATTATATAAAAAAAACTACTATATTCATTTTCATATTTAAAAAAATATGTATAAATGCAAAGCGGGTTGATTTTGATATTTCATATCTCACAAGCAAAACACTGGTTTTCAAAGCATTCCTAGATGAGGTGTTTAGATGTGGGGTTTCTTGATCAAGTATAATCTACTAAAAAGAGTTTGTTGCCCAAGGGTTTCTTCCTTAGCTCGATTGCCTATTTCACTAATAGTCAAGATTTCTCTTGTTTCAATAGTATTTATTTAATCGGTTGGTCTGTAAGTATTTTAATATAATGAGTCAAATATGGTCGTAGTCGCATTGATGTGCAAATTAGGGTTAAAGCTAATCTCTCCAAGTTTTGATAGTTTAACTCGGTTGCTTGTAGGGCTCTACTGTGAAGTTGATTGGGAGTTGTTTCTTTTTCCTTTAGACTACAAGGCTATCATTGATGGCTTTTGGCACATACATAAGTATAAAGATAATGTTTATCCCGAGGCAGGACTTGCTAATGTTAGGATGCCATGCACGCTTTCGTTTAGTTATAAGGACAACCATTGAAAGTTCGTATTGCTTTTATATCCCTTTAGTGTTCGGAAGCAGTTAGTTTGTCGATGAGGACTTGCATATCTTTTGGATATTTCACAGGACTTGCATATCGAAGGAATTGTCCATCATTGGCTCCAATGTGCATTTGGCCGGATTGAGCTTCATTTGGATATTTCACAGGTTATGTAGTTAGTAGTGCGCTATAACAGTTTTTGGACCTCTATTTAATCGCAAAAGATTTAGTGGTGAGTAATTACGGTGACGCTATTTCCACTGCTATTGTATTCGATTTTGGGAAATTATCTTGTGACCATGTTTCATGTTTCTTTCGGGTAGCGTTGTTGAGATAGATAAGATATATGTTTATTTTGCATTTGAGGACTTCAATAGGAAAAAAAAAAAAAAAAAAAAAAAAAAAAAAAAACAATTTGTACCCCAAGATAGTTCTTTTGAAATTAATGACTTTGTCTTTTTCAACCACCCCAAGTTCACTTAATTTTCCAATTTCATAGCAAGTAGACCTAGAAAACATGTGGTGTCATGTTCGTGTCCAGTTGAAACTTGAAAAGATCGTTACAGCTTAACCCAAACCCGATCAGTTTAACTATAATGTCATGACTAGTTCGTATCATAAAGGAAAGAAGGATTATAAGTTTTTTTTCTTGGATTGTGAAAAAGACAACCATTTACTTCAAAAGACAGATTTTGGGGGTACAAAAGTATAGAAGCAAAGTGGGTTGACTTCGAATTTCATATATTACAAAAACACCAGTCTTCATAGGCTTTTTTTCTCTACGCTTTCAATCTTTTCCTAGATGTGGGTTTTCTTCGATCCCCAAAAATCACAAAAGGGTTTATTCACAGATACGATGACTACACATGAATATCAATTTTTGTGTATTTAACAATACGACACCATTCTAATGGATCAACACATAGGATGACATGTGGATGCCATTTTAAATCTTTGACGTGTAAAAAGCATAAGTAATGAAATTCCAGCACACAATCCCCGATTCTAGATAAGAATTTCTCTCATTTACAACGTCATACAAAATAAACTTTTTCCCTTCCTTCTACACCCCACAAAATCTTTTGTTTAACAAAAAAAAAAAAAACCCAAAGAAATAAAAACATGTAATTAGATGATGCAAATATCCCAACTAAACACTACATTCTTCTACCAATGCGAAGCTACTTCCATAATCCGTCGTCTTTCTTGTTTTTCAATTTCCATTCATTACACATGACATGACATCAGATATCACGTCTTGTCCTTCTACGTGGAGCAGCAGCATCCTCATTTTGCTCATCATTCTTGTCTTCCTCTTCAGCTGTTGCTGCCCCTGTGTTTGATGATTCACCTTCTTCCTTCTTTGCTGGTTCAGCTACAGTCACCTTTGGAGTCTGTACAAACGACAATTCCATTCCATACATCAATAAATAGAGTTTTGGGTTTCCTAATAGAATAAATGCTAAAAAAACAATGCACTTTCTTTTACTAGTTTTCAAACTGTAGCCAATTATAGCAGTGAATAGTTTTGTATTCTGACACATTGCTATGATTTTACTTGTTTCTTTTTTCAAGTATAATGTTGTAACAAAAAGGGAAAAGTTTTGTACTCACAGCTTTCTTTCCACCAAACAACAACTTCAACAAGACGCTAAAGATCACCACAACAATCGAAACTATGACACCAATTGTAATGTTTGGCTGTTTTTCAGCCTTCTCAATAAGTTCCTGCAATAATAATATTAAGAACGAATAATTACATACATGCCAAGTGGAAAAAAGATACAGACAAACATTCAGATATACTTACCAAAACCTTGACCTTGTGGTCTCCCAAGAAAGGCAGATCCGCAATCTTGTAAAGGACATCAAACACTGCTTTCTGCAACATTTCCAAGTACATATTAAAAAAAAAAAACAATTAGAACAACAATGGAATAAGAAAAGAGCTTCTTCTTGTATGCAAAGTTGGTTGGGGTAAATTACCTGGATGCCCTTGAGACCATCAAAACCAGCTTCCTGTTCTTCAGCTTTGTGTTTCTCTTCCTCCACCTTAAACTTGGGCTTCCATGTCGTCTCCCTGATAGTTTCTGCAGTCTTTTCATCACTCGCTATCAATACATTATCAAACAAGATTCCATCTTGCATTGTCCAGATCTCAATACCAATAGCAGCAATGGGCTCAAAGTTGGGTGTCTTGAGTTCAAAGTAATCAGGGTTAGGAATCTCACGAGGCTTCCAGATACCCTTGTAAGCAGGGTTATCAATAAGAGGAGCATGCCATTTACCCTTGTAAGCTGGGTTCCTTTTCAATGGCCTCTTCCACTCACCACAACCAGGTGCTGCCTCACATTTCGGGTTGTCAATCTTGGGTGCCTCCCATTCACCATCTTCTTCATCATCCCAGTCCTCAGGTTTCACTGCTTCAGGGTCATCAACCTCCTCAGGCTCATCTTCCAACCACCCTTCTGGTTTTTCAGCTTCCTCATCCAAAATATCCATAGGCGCATCCTCATCCCAGTCCTCAGGCTTTGTTGCTTCCGGGTCAGGAATCTTAGCCCGTTCGTCCCAATCTTCGGGCTTTTTGTCCTCCGGGTCGGGTATGGTTTTATCCGGGATCAAAGCGGGCTCAAAGTCATCACCAGACAAGAAATTGGCCTTCTTTTTCTCTTCCCCATCAACCAAGATTCTAACCTCATTATCAGGTTTCAAAATGGCAGTGTACACATGGGTGAGTTTATCCGAAGGGACAGAAGGTGGGAACTTGAGATGGTGTTCAACATATTCTCCACTTTTAGGGTTCTTGTGTTTTAAGATGAAGTGGACTTTGTTTGTTGCACCACATTTGTCAGGGCCAAACATGATTGAGTAAGGAGACTCGTTGTCGAATCCTTTGGCTGTCCAACCAGCTTCCTGTGGGCGGAGATATTTTAGATATGCACCACCACATTCGAGACCGTTTTGAAGACGGACTTCAAACTGGAGAACAACTGTTCCATCCTTGAGTTCAACAGGCTTTTCTAATTCCTTAACAATTGCGTACTTTCTAGCCTTTTCACTCACTAGAAGCCCATAATCATCATGCCCTTCGCTCTTTGAGTGTTTCCATTCACCTAAGGACAACAAATAAAATGATAACAACCTCAGTGATTGAAATTGGAAACAAAGTACGATAATATATCAGAAAAAACAGCCGCGGTTACTGCACAAAACAACATTACTACAAAGAGATTACATTAAATTAGGGTTTTGAACATAATGTTAAACTTGAAGGAAAAGAAACTTATGTTCGACTCTTTGCATTTAAAAAATATGGCACTTGAGTTTGGTTTTAAAACGGGTTAAGCAACAATTTGTTCGTCAAGATTGAGCTTTTTGATGAATACAATGATATAAAACTGAATGACTATTTATTTACGTAAAGTTGGCATTATACGTTCATTATTTGGTGTTTGATGACTGCTTAAAGCCAGAGCTAAAATCAAGACATAACCCAAAGCTAAGCAAACCCTCTCACCAATACTCTCTATAGGACTACAGCTAATTCGGAAACTTATATGTGTGAGTAAAAGCCAAAAACCAATTAGTGTAATCTACATTTTCGTTGGTGGAATGTTGTATCCGTCGGTTAGGGGTTCTAACAAAGCTATTATTGCATCTTCTTAGCTTTAAGTTGGGTGAAATGACTCGAACTCCTTCAACAATCAATGTAATTATAAATGGCTATATTAACGCATCATATACCGACTAACAGCGCACTAGAACATGTGTCAATATGAGACCTAAATGTTACTTTGCAATCTGTCATCCTGATCAAGTTCTTACTTTTGCCCTAAACAAATAACCAGCAACGTAAAATTCACGCTTCAAATTTCAATAGTTCTATCAGATAATTGTCATTCAATACCTTCCCCTTCCAACTTCCAATATATTTAATAGTTAAACGGTTTCCATAACCACTTAAACACTAACACCAAGTTCAGCAATAAAGTAATCACACAGTATAAACTTAGATCCAAACAAAACTTACCAGAATAATCTTCCTTCTCAGACACGATCCAACTC